AAGGCTGCGCTTTCTGGACCCTTGGTCCTGGGAGGTGGGTCAGACAGAGAAAACAGAGCCGTTTGGGCAGTTCTCTATAAAGCAGCCTCTTCCAGACTGAGGGCACAGGAGACTCTGAGGGCAGGGGAGGCTCTTAAATGTAGGGATGGCCAGAACGCTAAATCAGAGCCTCGGAGGGGCCTGCAGCTTTGGGTACCTGAAAGGCCTCCCTCTTCTGGCTGGGGATGGTCTGATTTGCCCAGAACGGGAGCAGACTGGGTGGCACATGGGCCAGCCGGTGGGCTCTGTCACTCGCATTTGCCCTGTTCTGAGGAAGCTTGGCTCAGAGCAGAAGATCACAAACTTTTCTGGGGGCACAGACCATGAGGAAACTATGGACTCTTCGCAGGAGAAAATACACATAGACCTGAGGCCTTTTCGCGCAGTTTCAGGCCCTTCCAGGACTCCAGGGTAAGGGAAGGCACCCCTTCCCAAAGCTGTTCTCCGTCCCTTTCTCATCCCTCTGCGGCCCACCCCGCTTTGCCCTGCTCCTGCTCCCTCCTCCTCTTCTGCTGGAACCTTGTGTCCGGACACGGCTGCCTGACCCTTGCTTACTCCTTTAGCACTCAGGGCTAAAGTGTTTTTTTGGCTCTAGATCTACATTTTCCCTGGCATGTGCCAAAAAACTACCTGATAAACAAGCTGTTCGGTGGTAAAGAGGAGGCATCAGCAGAGGTGACAGTGAGGCCCAGCGGTTCTCAGAGGGCCAGCCCTGAACCAGCAGCGGCAGCACCGGGAGCTGGTTGGCAATGCAGGATCTCCGGTGCGCCCACACCTGCTGTATCGGAAACCCACCCCTCCAGGTGACGTTGACTCTGGCTGAAGTTTGAGAAAGGCTCATAGAGTGAACGCGGGCTCCACTCCCCCAGTTTTAATGAGTGTTTCCCAGGGCATGTGAAGTTCTCTGTAAACTCGGCTTCAAGCTCCTTTGCAGCCAGACTGTGTGGCCCCTGAGGGCCTCCTTGAGAGAAAGTGTGGGCCTGGGTTAGCGGGTGCAGTGGCAGGAGGTAAGCGTCAGTGCTGGCCCTGAGCGCGGCGTTGTGACAGCGGGAGACCCGCTGGCGAGGTCTCCGTGGTGGGCAGTGGGGGGGGGGGGGGGGGGAGGGGGAGGGGAGCGCCTGGGGGAGGGGAGAGGGGGCGGGCGGGGCGGGCGGGCGGTGCTCGGCCGCCCTCCAGCCATTGGGCGCGGGACCCAGACGTCCCCGGCGCCCAGCCCCCCTCTCCACGCCTCCCCGGCGCGCTCCGCTCCCGGGACCGCACTTACCGGGAACTCGCCGCCCGTGGGTCGGGCCACCGCGCTCTGCCGGGGCTGCGGGGATCCTCGGACCACGGACGCCTCCGCGCCCCTTGGGCGCGCTTGGCTCCGCGGGGAGGATGCGGGAAGGGGGGCGCGCACCGTCACCCCCACCCCATACCCCCTACCAGGGCCGCCCCCGCCGCCGCTCGGCCTCCCGGCTCGCCGGCCCCAGCTTCTCTCTAGAGCGCCCGCCCTTTCGGCCTCTGGTTGGACGCAGAGGGGGCGCGCCTCAGAATGTGGGGACCCCTGATCTGGGGTCAGAGGGCAGTTTGGCGCCCCCTTCTCCTGCGGGGCGGGGAGAGTGGCAGAATTCCAGCTAAACCCGGTTTTACAAGGACTGCAGACCAGGTGCTGATCAGCCTGGACGCTGTGGTCCGAAATTCCCTTTCCAACCCCCTGGGGGTGTGTGGGTGGGTGACCGAAGTCAGGAACACCAGCGACACTTTTTTTTTAAACAAAACTTTATTGATAATAGTTTTCAAATATGTTTACAACAGCACACTGTTCAAGAGGAAGTTGCGTCCTTCGCAGCACACAGGTTGAATCGCCCCCGCGCCCACCCGGGGCCCCACCCCAGGCCTGAGAGCTCCTCCTGGGATGGGGAGAAATTATGAGGGACAAATATGGGGATGAATGGGGTGACTCCCGACTTTTCTATTGAGAGAAAAAAACCACAATGGGGGGGGCGGGGAGAACGGGTGATTGACAGCGGACAGCTAAGCAGAGGAGGAGCGCCCAGGATGGGGGGGTGGGGGCGGAGGCTCCTGGGTGAATAAAACAAGCAGCCCCTCCCCAGCAACCTTGACCTTGAACTCTGGGCCGTCTGCGGCGTGGGGGGGGCTTGGCCTCCTTTTGCGGGGGTGGCCTTCCCAACTGAGAGGAGGCTGGACATTAAAATCTAGTTGAGAATAAAATTAAGAAGTTTGGGAGAGTGTTACTGGGAGGAAAGACCCTGGGCTCGGGGCTCCCCCTCTATCTTTTCAGGGGACAACTCCTCTTTGGCAGGGAGAGGGGCAGCTGCTTTGTCTGGGTCCCAAGGGTGAAGACAGGTCTATTGGGGCAGAAGGGAGTGGGGACTTCCTAAAGGGGCTGAGACCCTTCCAGGCTTGGCAGGGGACCCCGAGGGGGCAGGGGGTCGGGGGAGATTAGCAGCTTGGGGGAGAGGTTTGAACCCCAGCTCCTTCCTTTACAGTCTGCTTCCCAGCCTTGTTAGAATGGGTTTGGGGAGGAGGGGCATGGGAAGGGGTGGGAGAGGAAGGAGCGTGGGAGGCATTGGTGGAACTTAAATAAGATTGTAAATTGTTTTTTAAAAATATTGTATTAAGTAGCCCACTGAACATGTCACTAAAATCTTTCCTTCCCTGGCAAGATTGCTCTGAAGGGAAGGTTAGCCTTTCATTCATTTGCCCTTAGAGAGTGGTGCCTGTGGTTTTTTTTTTTTTTTTTTGGGTGGGGGGCAGGTGGCTGGAGTTAAGTTTGGGCCCTTCTTTCCACACCCTGTCCCTGACACACCAGCAAGACCTGGTCTGACCTGAAGAAGGGAAGAACTGAGAAACTCGTTTAAAACAGGCAGAAGTGGGCTAGGGTAGGGGGCTGTGGGGGAGGAGGGAGGCAAAAGCAGTAGGGGGGACGGGGGGGGCAGGAGGGAGAAGGGGGTGAGGGGGAGCAGCTGGTGTTTCAAAAAAAAAAAAAAAAGAAACAAAGAAAGAAAACCCATGGGGGCACAGGCACACCCCTAAAACTCAGAAAACTCCTTGCCACACTTCTCATTGATGGAGACTCGGATCTCTTCCTCCTCATAGTCGTCAAAGTTACTCGTGTCCCCAGGGCCTTTAAACTTTGGTATGAAGGGAGCTTCCACCTGGAGAGGGGTCAAGAGCCATTCAGACCTCAGCAGTCAACATAATCATCGTTACAACAATAAATGCGAACGGGCTAACATTCATGAGATCAATTACTCTGCCCCAGGCCTGATCTTAGCATTAGGGTATGGACTCATCTTAACAACCCAAGAATCTTATTATAGCCAATTCACCCATGGGGAAACTAATTTCCAGAGAGGGAAGTCTGTTCAAGGTCACAGAGTGGCCAAATGACCCCACAATTCTGTTTCTATACCCCCAATGCTCTAAGTTGCCTTATCTAAACTGACCCAGAGCCCGCAGCCTATTTTCAAATTCCCCTTCCGTTTTCATCTCTCCATTGGCAATACTCCCTGACTCTTGCCCACCCCCCTCCAAAACCCTCAGAGCACAAGGGGAAGGGGGGCGCCTACCTTCCTTTGGTAGATGGCGATCCAGTCGGTCGTGGCAAACCACTTGTGGTTCTTGATGTCATTGACCCCATTCTTGAGGTTCCCAAAACGTTTGGTGAGGTCCACCTGCAGGAGGTTCCGCAGCAGATCCTTCAGGTCGGAGCTGAAGTGGGACGGGAACCGCACCTGGAGAGAGGGTAACACAGACAGATTGGGAAACTGATCTGGAGCTTGGGGAGCCCAGAACACTGCCTTCACCATCCAATTGTCTTATTGGGTGGAGGACCCCAAACCAGAGTGTGCATCGGAATCCCATTAGAACAGCTTGCTGGGCCCACTGAAGTTTATCTGATTCAGGTGGGGCCTGAAAGTCTCTATTTCTAGCCAGTTCCTGAGCCGTGCTGATGCTGCTGGAGAGGTAAGAGCTATGAGGTTCCCATTTTCTTCTGTCTGCACCATGCGGCTTGTGGGATCTTAGTTCCCCAACCAGGGATTGAACCCAGGGCCTCGGCAGTGGAAGTCCAGAGTCCTAACCACTGGATTGCCGGGGAATTCCAGAGGTTCCCATTTCTATTTCTGGAGAGGAGGAAACTGAGGCTCGGGAGGATTAAACAGCTTGCCCAAGATCACTCAGAGGAGCAGGGCAAGTTGGTTCCATCTGGGGTCTGCTGGACTCCAGAACTTGCATTCTTAGCCACTGCTTCCTAAGGCAGCTCTGCTAGGGTCTGGGGACTTCAGACATATTCATGCTTCTGAGAGAAATAATTGTTTGTCTCTCTCTCTCTCTCTCTCTCTCTGCATAGCTAAGGCTCTTCCATTCTTTAAGGCTCAGTTCAACTCTTCCAGAAACTTTCCCCAAATGCTTTGAGTCCACAGCTTTGTATGCAAGCAGTCACTGGATTTAGAGCTGCAAGAACCGACTTCCAGCACTGCTCTGCCTCTTCCATGCTGTGTGACCTCGGCCACGGCCCTTAACCTCTCTGGGCCTGTGCCTGCCTCTCTGGCATGGGGCAGATATCCCAGGGTTGCATGAGGGAGATAATCCCGCTGAGGGTGCGTGGGAACTGTGAAATGCTACAAAGAAGGGAGTCACGCTCATCTTCTCTCCCCCCTCGAAAACTTCTATGGCTTTTTCTTTTTTTTTTCCCCCACTCTGGGCCATTTTCTTGGCAATTTCTATTCTGCCTGGTGGCAGACACCTCATCTTTCCCTTTTTTAGTGACCCCACTTTGCAGGTGGTGATTCTCTCAACCTCTCTGAGAGGCAAGTGGCTAGTTCCCCAGTTCTGAGATGGATAAGACTCAGAGAAGCGAAGACATTGGCCTGAGGTTTCAAAGCCGATGGGTGGCAGAGCTGGGACTCAGAGCCAGGTCAGCCCACCTAGGCTGAGCTGGGAGCCACTCACACCATTTCCTGGGCCAGATGGAGGGATGGTTGGTCCTCCTGGTGAGGTGGGTGAGCTGCAGTCAGAAGTGGGGTCCCCAACCTCTTTTGAGACGATGCTGCCGTGTGATCTTGAACCAGACATGTCCAATCTCTGCACCTCGGCTTCCTCACTCCCTCAGAGTGGTGGGGTACAACCGAGGGGGTGCATGGGGCAGCGGGTACTTAAGGCACTCCGGGGCTCTAACGGTTCTGCCACCCCTTACCCACACCCTGCAAGTTAGAAAGTCTGCACTTGGGAAAGGAGGCAGGGCCTTACGTCCAAAGTGACTCCCTGGAGGGGTCTGGGGTAGCGCCTGGGAACTGAACATGCTTGCTTTTTTGCTGTGAAACTTGTGAAAATTCATGCTAACGGGGCCGACTAGAGACGAGACCAGCCTCCTGGCAGGCAGGGCAGGAGTTTGGGTGAGACCTGGGGTTTTGAAAACCCTTAGGATTTCGGCACTGTGGTCCAGAATCAGACAGCGAGGTTGTGTCAAGTGGTGGCCTCAGTTAGCGTAGCGGGTGTGTCTGGCTTCACCACCTGGCCTGACTTGATCAACTTCTCGATTGCTCTTTTTCTGTTTTTCTTTGGCCGCCCCACACAGCACTTGGGATCTTAGTTCCCCAGCTAGGGATCAAGCCTGTGCCCCCTGCAGTGGAAGCCAGCTCAGAGTCCGAACCACTGGACTGCCAGGGAATTCCCCGACAATGACGATCAGGGCTCCACAGTGAGCGGGACAGGCAGGGAAGGGTCAGTCTTAGGCCTGAGCCCCCATATCCGGGCCTCACCTTCCCAGACACAATCTTCTCATAGATCTGGATGGGCTGGTCAGCGAAGAAGGGCGGGTAGCCAGCGGCCATCTCATAGATGAGAACCCCCAGGGCCCACCAGTCCACAGCTTTGTTGTAGCCCTGGAGCGAGAGGAGGGGAGCAGGTGAGGGGAGAAGGGTAAGGAGGGGGCTGCTGGCGGTGGAGCAGGCCTCAGAGCGGTGGGAGGGGTAGGGAAGTGCCTACTTTACTCAGGATGATCTCGGGGGCCAGGTACTCGGGGGTGCCGCACAAGGTCCAGGTGCGGCCTTTCACACGCTTGGCGAAACCGAAGTCTGTCACCTGTGGGCACAAGAATGGGCGGTTGGCCGGGAGGGTGGGAGGGTTCAGGCTGTGGCCACCTGGGGCTGCCCCTCGCCCAGCCCAGTGGGCACCTGAATGTAGCCCTGCTGGTCGATAAGGAGGTTCTCCGGCTTCAGGTCCCGGTAGATGAGATCGAGCGAGTGCAGGTACTCAAAGGTCAGGACAATCTGGGCTGCGTAGAAGCGGGCATGGGGCTCACTGATGGGGACAAGCAGGGAGAGGATGGGTGAGAGTGGGTGGCCACACCAGCAGGACCTGCCCACCCCCTAATGGTCCAGCAGGTGGGCCTATCGAGCTGCCTCCAGCCCAGCAATCAAAATGCATCAGCAGAGAAGCCTTATTCATATACAGCCCCAAACTGGAAAGAGCCCAAATGTCCATCAACAGAGGAATGGAATCACAGATTGTGATAGATTCCTATAATGGGATCCTACCCAACACCACCACCAGGACGAATGCTGAATATACCCAACAATGTGGCTGGATCACAAAACGATTATGTGAAGCAAGAGAAGGAAGGGACAAAAGAATATGAACTGTGTGATTCCATTTATGTCAAGTCCAGACCCAGACCAAACACATTTATGGTGTTTGAAGCCAGAAAGGACGTTTGCCTTTGTTGAGGTGGTGATTTGCCAAGAAAGGCATTTGAGGGAATTTTCTGGGGTGGTGGTTACACATGTGAATGCAGCTGTCAAAACTCATGGAACAGGGTATTGAAAACCTGTGCACTTTATTGTATGTAAAGTGCATATCTATATAAATAAGATAGCACAAATTTTAAAACGACATGAAATTGCCCACTTACATGGTGATGCCTAAGTCACCGTGTTTGTTTTGTTTCGTGGTGGCTGAGACATTGTAGATTCCTCAGCTCGGGGGAACAAGAACCCACAGGGACCTGAAGAGGCCACTTCCACAGAAGACACCCATGCACACCCCAGGCCCAGGGTGGCAGGGGGCGTCGGGCTCACCTGAACCTCCCGATCCGCCGCAGGTGTGAGAACATCTCCCCACCAGGCACGTACTCCATGATCATGTATAAATTTGAGTTGTCCTGTGGGAAGCAGCAGCTGATCACGGCCCCACTCCCCAAGCCCCAGGCCCCACCTGAAAGCAGGTGTCAGACATAAAGCGACAACAACAATTTTGGTTCCCATGTGAAGCACGTTCCAAGCGCCAGGCACTGTGCTCACTGATTACCTGTCTCATTTCATTCTGCCTGTGAGAAAGAAGGGGCAGCCATGATCCTGCTTACGGGGGCCAAAAGTGAGGGCTGGCTAGAGGTACATCAGGGACCTGGCTGGCATGCCTGGGCTGCAGAGAGAACTCTGTGGTGGCTCCTGTCTGTGACTGTCTTGAGCAAGGCTCTTGGGGCCACAGTTTTGTCATCTGTCAAATGGGACCAGGATGGGCTACAGATTTTGTGAGTCCCCCCTCAAAATAAAAGTGAGGCCCCTTGTTAAAAAAATGATTATGAATTTCAAGATGGTGGCAGCAGAGCCTTAAACAAAGCATGGGGTCCTTGTGACTGCTAGGGTCACAGGCCCTGAGGGGCCTTTTCCAACTCTCACAGTCATGGCTTAGGACGGCACCCAAAACAGCTCACGCAGGGTGCTCATGATGCGGTTGGAACTGTCATGGCAGCCCCACCAGGTGGGGCCTGCCATGATCCCCATTTTACAGATGAAGAAACTAAGGCTCACGGGAGTGAAGTTTCTTGCCAGGGTCACACAGCCAGGAAGTGCAAGGCTGGGATTTGAACCCAGGCTGAGTGGCAGTTTGTGGCTGTGTGTCAGGTTCTTGCTGTAAATGGATCGATGATTTTGAGGGATGTTATCCAGGTTGGGGGACTTGCCCAAGGTTATCAAGCTATAAGTTGGCAGGCCCAGCCGAACCTGGGCTCTGTCAGGGCCCCAGGCTGACTTGCCCTCCATCCCAGGGGGCCTTCTTCACCGCTCCCCCATCAGTGGGGCTGCCTTTGCGGGCAGCCACTGGCTGTGGTTGGCTGGGCCCCAGCTCTGGGAACCCAGAGGCTGCACCACCCGGCAGTGGCCCTGGTCTGCGGCCGCTGGGACCCCACCTTGAATGAGAACTCGAGTTTGACAAGGAACGGAAAGTTGACCGCTTGCAGGATGCGCTTTTCATTCAGGGTGTGCTCAATCTGCTTCAGCTTTACCACCTGCAGGGGTGGGAGGAGAGAGGAGAGAGGAGGGGGTGTGAGAGAGCTCTTTGCTTCCCTGCCACCCAAAAGTAGACGTACCAGGGCCAGGCTGGGTCCTCCATCCAGAATCGTTTGAGTGCCTGGGGCCTGTCAAGCCCTGGGCTGGGTGCCTGTCCCCACATGGCATGCAGTTCAGGGCAGGAACACATGAGTCACCAGGCCACAGGGGTCAGAGCTGTGGTGGGGGAGGCTTGGGGCCTGTGGATGCCCAGATAAGGCATCCGGTGAAGCCTGGGGGGTCAGAGAAGGCTTCCTGGAGGAAGGGGCAGACAGGTGGGAGTAGCACCCAAGGGGTGGGGGATTTAGAAATACGTTCCCTGCATCTAGAGGACACCCCGCCCCCCACATCCACTTGAACCCAGGGCTAATTCCTCAGCCCTCAGCTGTCCCCAGCAGCCGTCTCACACTCTCTGACAGGAGCCCTGAGGGGTATGCAATGGGAGCATGCAAGTTTGGAAGCCCAGATGCAGAGGGGAAGTGCCGTGCCCAAGTTCACACGCAGTTAGTCAACATCAGTCCAGCTTGTCACACGCAGGCAGCCTGGCCCCTTGGTCAGCTCTAAGCCCCACTGCACTGGGGCTTTTTCTGCTTTGCTCACAGCTAAATCCTTTGGGTCTATACCTGAACTGTCCAGTAGATTCCACACTAGCCACGTACGGTTGCTGAGTACTTGAAATGTGGTTCGTTGACTGGGGAACCAAGTTTAAAATTTGAAGTATCTAAAATGAAAATTTAGGGCTTCCCTGGTGGCGTAGTGGTTAAGAATACACCTGCCAACGCAGGGGACACGGGTTTGAGCCCTGGTCTGGGAAGATCCCACATGTTGCGGAGCAACTAAGCCCGTGCGCCACAACTACTGAGCCCGCACGCCACAACTACTGAAGCCCTTGCGCCTAGAGCCCGTGCTCCACAACAAAGAGAAGCCACTGCACTGAGAAGCCCACGCACCACAACGAAGACCCAAGGCAGACAAAAAGAAAAAAAAAAAAATATATATATATATATATAAAATGAAAATTTAGGGACTTCCCTGGCAGCACAGTGGTTAAGAATCCACCTGCCAATGCAGGAGACACGGGTTTGAGCCCTGGTCTGGGAAGATCCCACATGCTGTGGAGCAACTAAGCCCGTGTGCCACAACTACTGAGCCTGCACTCTAGAGCCTGTGAGCCACAACTACTGAGCCCATGTGCCACAACTACTGAAGCCCTCACGCCTAGAGCCTGTGCACCGCAAAGAAGAGTACCCCCCGCTCGCTGCAACTAGAGAAAGTCCATGCACAGCAACGAAGACCCAACTCAGCCAAAAATAAAGAAAGAAAGAAAGAAATTTTAAAAAAAGAAAATTTAAAAACTGATACTTGGCACCGTTACCAGACAACTTTCAAGCCTGTTTGGAACAACCTGGGCTACGTGAACAGTGAAAATTAACATCTGAATGGAGATGTGTTATATGTGTAAAATGCATGCTGGATTTCTAAGACTTAGTACGGAAAAAAAGAATGTAAAATGTCTCATTAAGCATATTTCTACACTGGATACATACATTTAAATGATAATATTGTAGATATACTGGCTTAATTACAGCATATTGTTAAAATGAATTCTGCCTTTTTAAAACTTTTAAAACTAGGATTCTAGGGAATTCCCTGGTGGTTCAGTGGTTAGGACTCCGTGCTCTCCCTGCCGAGGGCCCAGGGTTCAATCCCTGGTTCGGGAACTAAGATCCTGCAAGCCACGCAGTGCTACCAAATAAATAAATAAAATGAGGATTCTAGAAAATTTAAAACCATATGTGGCTTGTGTGATATGTCTCCTGGATGGTGCTGCTCTAGAGCACTGCCTGGCAAAAAGTAGGGTTTCAAAAATATTTACAGAGGCTTCCCTGGTGGCACAGTGGTTGAGAGTCCGCCCGCCAATGCA